GCCAGGAGCCTGATGCGGGGATTGATCCTAGGACCCTGGGATCATGACCTGAGCCAAAGGCAGACGCTTAACCCTCTGAGCCACCCAGGCGCCCCATCCCTATAAATTTTAGAATCAGCCTGTCAATTTCTACAAAAATAAAAGCCAACTGTAATTTCAATTGGACTGCCTTGAATCTATAGGTAAATCTGGGGAGAATTAACAATATTGATTCATCTGCTCCACATCCAATCCAGGATCCTATTACTTAGGCCCTCTTTAGTTGTTTTCAGCAATGTTTTGTAGTTTTCAGTGTACATACTTTGAACATCTTTGATCAGATCTGTCATTAAGTATCCCATCTTTTTGATGCTGTTGTAAATGGTTTAATTTTGGAATTTCAATGTCTAATTGTTCATGTAACCTTCTTAAACTCACTTATTAATTCCAGTAGCCTTTTTTACAGAAATTTCTAAATAGATAATCACAACCTCTATGAATATTTATTTCTTCCTTTCTTTATCTAGATGCTGTGTATTTCCTTTTCTTGCTTTATGGCTCCGTCTAGAACCACCTGTAACAGTGAGTTCTGGTTCTTTTATGTGATGACCAGTGAGATACAATCACAAGAGAAAACACAGGAGAGGCTCAGAGAAACAAAAGTTTATTAGATTCCCAAGTCCTACTAACAGGAGGCATGGCACGCCAGGCAGGGTCACCTGGGAAGCCCCAGGTGGTTAGGAGACAGAAAGCAGGAGCAAAGAAAAAGCCAAGGCAAGAGTCTTTATGAGGGTTTTTATGGGAGAGACAAGGCAGAGAAGGGTAACAGTTTAGGACTGGCTAGTTTGAACAATTCCAGCAGATTCTGGGCTATCGGGATGGTCTCTGGTTGCCTGGCACCTGGCCCGGGGATGATTAAGGCAGAAGATCTCTTTCTAGGGAGCTTGGGTCAGATAGAGGAGGTTTGGCTCTCAATTGGCTAGTTTGCATACAAATGCATGCCTTCTGCGGAGCCCTATGTTATCTCTAAGAATCGGCTAGTTCCAGAAGCTGCAGTCTCTCCCCAGCCAGAATCGTTTTTCTTTTACCTTTTTTTAAGATGTTGAAACATTATAATGTACAGAAATATATATTATATATATTACATTTATGTGTTACATATTATACATAATTCTTTGTATATTCGTATTATATACGTTGTATATATTTGTATTATATACATATAATACAAAGGTTGAACAGACATGGTGAAGTAGACATCCTTGCTTTGTTCCTGGTCTTATGGGTTGACAGCATCACGCACTCAGACAGGGAAAGCAAACAGACTGAGGAACCATTAGACCCAGTGACTGAGAGATGGCTAATGTCCTTGTAGTGCAAGTTCAGTAAAATTGTGAAAACAGAAGCCCACTTCAGGTGCTTCATGAGAAAGTGCGGCTGAAGATGTCTCCGAATAAGTATGGATCATTCTAAGGGTTCCGCTGTGAAAAGTAAAAACATCCAGGCAGTGGTTTGGGGGGGGTGGGACCCTGAGGAATAAGTAGGTTTTACTGACAGGAAAGACCTAAGGTGTATGTTTAATAATAACCATTTCTCCATCTTCAAATATTACTATTGTGAAACATTTGTCACAATTCCAAAACTTTATTTTTAGAGAGATGATTCACTCAATTCACTTGCCTAGTGCAAAAATAAAGAAATCCTTATTTAAAATGTAAATGTTAAAAGTAATAAATGTTTTCAGATCCCAAATACAAGTAGAAAAATTATGATTTTTTTTCCTAAAATTAGGAGTTCTCGCAATTGGCTCCTTTGTACTTAACAACTGCTAACGCAAAGGAGGAAGGGTGTGAACGTCATGGAGACAGAAGTGTGTGAGATCAACTCGGCAAATGGCCCAGGGCACGGGGAAATAGGCCCCTCTGAGCCCAGCCTTGGGGAGCTTCTGCTGCCATGTTATCCTGTGGTTGGAGAAAGCCTGCCTGCTAGCCGCTTTCTACATCTCACTGTCCTATCTCTCTAATGTGCCTTGTACACAAGACATTTGCTGTAGGGCCCTGAGAAAATAATGCAAAGAAAATGATAGAAATTTGTGTGGGGGATGACAATTTGAAGTTGGTTTGGAGAGATCAATTTGACTGGAAGAAAATTAAATCCAAATTAACTGCAGATAGATTCTTTTCCTATTCCTGTGTTTAAAGTACAATGATGAGATGATTAAAAAAAAAAAAAAAAAAACTAAAGCAGGTAGAGCAGGACAGAGGAGAGAATTATGAGCTACTCATTTATAAAACCTGCCGCTCGGGGTACGGTCTGTGGGCCAGCAGCATCAGCACCCCTGGGGACCGGAAGCAGAATCTCAGGTCCCACCCCAGACCTTCTAAATGAGAATGTTCATTCCCGGGTGACCTGTCTGCATGCTAATGTTTGAGAAAGACTGCTTTCAAAAACGTTCAGGAACTGCGGGATGGTTGGTACCTTGAGACGTTCTTTGGGGATCAGACAGCTGAGAGGCAAACCAGTCTGCCTGGAAGGAATCATCAGTAGTTTAGTGAGACATCAGTCAGGGATTAATCAATACAGATTTGCAAAGGAATCTTAGAGAGAAGAGGAAGCTGGAGGTTAGGGAAACTGAGTAAGAGGCTGAATGTGAGAACCACACATAAATCCTGTCAGCTTATTCACGCTAGCAGAGTCAGGGGCCAAAGGAGATCAAATTTATCTAGGGCTGAAAGGCTGAGCCCAGAATAAGGAATCTGGCCCAAGCCAAGGCCTGGAAGTTTTCTGGATATTTAAGCAAGGAGAGTTTAAACAAGGCATAAGGCTGGAGAAGGAAGAAGCGAGCAGTGTGTAGTGCTTGGCTTGAGTGCAGAGCCAAGTGCTGGGCCTGCTCCGTACACCCAGCTCACGGGGTCTTCCCTTTTATACTAAGAACCCCCCTCATACAGCTGGCATTATTTGGACCCTCCTTAGACGGACTACCTCCAAACAAAAACAAGATAGACCAGAGTACAATTTTCAGGAACATAGTCTTCACTGGAAAGTCTTAATCCTCCCTGGGGATTGTAGGAGACAGTTATACTCCCAGCGAGTCGGGAGGCATGGGGAACTGGGCTGGCAGGAGGCTTTTGGGGGACTGGCGGTGGGAGGCTGTTGGGAGGCACCTCCCTTTGTGACAGATGTGCATGGCAATCACTCAGGTCATCGTCCACACCCTCCCTTCCTGACCCAGCCCCTGCAACCCTGCAGCTCTAGCTGCCCCTCGGTCCCGACACAGCTGGATTCTCTAGCCTCCTGGTTTTCAAATGTTCCGGATCATCAGGATCACGTGGGAACTTTAGTATATAAAATGCTAACTCCTGCCCTCCCATATCCAGGGCCCTGAGGGATTCTGACAGTGGAGGTCCAGGGTGGGATCCAGAAAAGGCGTTAGTAACAAACGCCAGAAAGGGGTTCTGCTGCAGATGTTCGCAGACCGGATTTTCAAGAGTGTTGCTTAACACCCTCCTTCTGCTGCGCTCCATTGCTGCTCAGGAGCTTGCCAATCAGGGTGGGGGCGGTGGTGGGGGCGGTGGGGGCGGTGGGGGCGGCGGTGGGGGCGGCGGTGGGGGCGGGGGCGGCGGCGGGGGCGGTGGCGGCGGTGGCGGCGGTGGCGGCGGTGGGGGCGGTGGGGGCGGTGGGGGCGGCGGCGGCAAGGGTTCAGGGACTCAGGTGTGTGCTGGGTCCTCTGCCACAGCCGTCCCTCTTCTCCCCTCCCTTTTGACAGTGTCCAGGCCGAGCTCTCCTTCCCTCTGCCCTCCCCGCCTTCTCAGTGACCCACAGACAGGTGCAGGCCACCCATCGGCACCTTTTCAGCTTGACCAGCTCTCATCTCTAAATTCTCCTGAACATGTTCTCTTTCGTGCAGTCTCCAGTTCCACTTTTGGAATCCTCAATTCCAGCCAGCTTTTACCCCTGTCTTCTACGGCTTCTCTAGGTCTCCAGTTACCTCTTCAAGGGCGTATTCAACAGCCTCTCTCTGCGCCCCCTCGGCCTCCCAGCTGCATCTGCCACTGCCAATCACTGTCTTCTCTGAACTTTCTAGCTCTGCTGGGCCGGCCGTTTCAAGGCTACGCCACACTTTGCCTTTCCACTGAATCCATGAGCCCCTCCCCACCCCCACCCCCCGCCCGCTCCTCCGAATTAACAGATCTCGGGATTTCTCAGGCATTCGTACTTGTCACTGCCTCATATGCTTCCTTTAATCTCCTGAGAGTTAGAATACCACTGGGGAACCTAAAAAAGGAAATTTCTCCATAGTCAGTTGCCTGACTTGGGAATATTCAAGATCCCGTCTTATAGTCGAGACCCACTACCTAATTTGGAGCATCCAGTGCCACATGAAAATGGGGGTCCCCTTACTTTAAGAGCACCAAGAAATACATACATTAAACCCATACATAAGACATGGAGGGCCCATCACAGTCTGGAGCACTGTGCAGCCACATAGGCCATGTGCTCAGGGCTCAGGAAACTGGCCCCACTTACAGGTGCCCCGGCCTGTTAGCCCAGTGACTGTCCAGACCAGATAAGTGGCTGAGAACATGGTAATCGTTCAGATAAAATCAGAGCGCACCTTCCCAAGTCACCAGCTAGTTTTCCCAGAGAAACACCCCCAAGTTCCCAGTCAGTCTGCGGGTCCTGTCGTCCGGAGCAGGGAGGGGACGGGAGCGTGTGAATGACACAGCAGTGTCCTTCAGCCACAAGGGGAAGAAACAGCTCCACAGTGCAGATCAGAAGCATCCTCCTTGTCACCCGTGCTGTTGCTTTGCACTGGACTGTGGCATACAGGAAATTTTGTCCTGAACGCTGTGCTCTAGCTTTTTCCCATTTGAGCCCCGAAACCCCAGGCGACCAGACTGAAGATAGAAACTGGAATCCCAGAGGCAGCAAGTCTCCCTGCTTTCTTTGGGGTGGCGCCAAAAAGAGATAAAGAAAGTGTTGTATTAGGCAGCAGTAAACAGGCAAGGGACAAGCAGGCCTTGAATAAAACAGATCTTTATTGGGGCTAAAATGGCCCCGGGCTGACCCCACCCTAAATCCTGGCAGTGTCCAACGACAAGAATTCAGAGGAACAAAAATGCTGGCATTGCTGGCTGCATCCCGTGCATACAGAACAGAAAGCATTGCAGAAACCTGCAAGCAAGGAATATATTCATACTATTATCCAGCATTTCAGCCAAAACTTATTTCTCAGTCCAGAGGACTATGCTATTCTGCCTTCTCTGCCTCAAATTTCTGTCCTGTGACTCACAGGGAAGGCCTTGGGGACAATGAAATATCCCAGAGACCTAAAATAGGTCCTTCTCCCTCCCTCCAGCATCAGGATGAATTTCCTACAGCATTTGTTTTTTTCCTTTATTAACCAGGCATGAATGATAATATTGCCCGGGCTTAAGCACTCATCTCTGTCAGTGGTAAATATAAATAATGAGGCACATTCATAGAAAAGCATGCCAGAATTTCATTGATTAACATCTTGTGCCACAGCCTCTCTTTGAAATTAAAAACACTTTCAATGACACGGCACAGAAAAGGCATTGCATGAAAAATATTTCGAAGAGGAGGCTGTCATTAAAGCATGCCCAAAATAGAACTGTTTTTATTTAACCATTCTCTCTCCTCTCCCCTGTCCCTCCACCCTCACGGGCTGGGAGGCTGCAGGCAGTTAAATCACAAGCATTGCAGAAAGCAGTTTCGTCTTATTTGAATTTTAGAAGCTTCAAAAGCAGACCTACGGGTGATGCTTAGTCCATGTGTCTCTTTCCCCCCACTGCAAGTGATAATTAAGGAAGTGATATGGCCAGATGTAAAATCCAGCTGTTTAGTCATCGATTTTTCAATGTCTTAACGATGCGTCAGAATCTGCCCCACTGCCAATGGCTTCATTCTGTCCCCGGTCATCCTCCACACACAGCCTCCTCGCTGGCCTCCTTGACTCCAGCTCTGCGCCCCTTTTGTGCTGGGATCCACAGCAAACTGCAAACCGGTCATTGGAAGGCCAGGCTCACTGCAGGCTTGTTTGGCTTTGCAAGTACAGTGGCTTATTTTGTTTGGTTTGGAGTTTTCAGTTTTGAATGCCTTTAAATGGAGCCTGTGTGCTTGCGCCTCAGCCTCGCACTTCAGCGCCCCCTCTTAACTCTGGCGCGGCCCTCTGGGGCCCATCCCCCACAGGCACTTCATCCTCTCCTCTGAGGCCCTGCAAGTAGCTGGTCCAAGGAATGTGGTCCAAGCTCCTCGATCTCTGACTCGGGATCCTCTGCCATGTCACCACTGTCAAGCTTCCCATGTTTGTGTCTCCCAATTCTTTGACCGACCTCTGCCAGCCAGGGTCTCCTCTCCTGCTGGCCTCTCTCTGCAAAGGGGCCGGGGCGCTCTCCTGCCAACCACAACCCTCCCTCCTCCTCTGACTCTAGACTCGGCCTGAAAACCTGACTCGTCTCTCAAGGCCCAGTTGAAAGTCACCTTCTCTGTGAAGGCTTTGTTCTTCTTCGCAGTCTCCTGTGATAGAAAAGCAAGAACTGTGGCGTCAGCCAGACCTGAGTTCGAATCCCACTCTTTAACTGCCCAGGTATGAGAACTTAGCAATTTTCTGAAGGTCTTTGAAGCTCCACCCACGGATTTGTAAAATGAGAATGATTTCTACCACCATCATAGGCTTGTTTTGAGTATCGAAAGAAGTAATGTATGTCAAAGGTGCATAGGTAATTCCTGGCACAGGAATTATTACAATGTGCTTTTCTACTTTCCCAGAACATATTATAGCATTTTCAACATTGAATGAAGATATTTGTGCCAAGGCCTCTCTCCTGTTGAGTCACAGAGCAGGAAACTCATCTGTTATGTCTGTCACTGCATTTCCCACAGTGCCCAGCACAGACCTCCGACCTTGACATTCAGTAGACATGTGCTAAATGGTGCTTGCTCAAATGATCCGTTCTGTTTTCGTGAAACTGACAATCATTTGTTTAGCTGATACCCCATGGGAGAAACAGGGCTGAAATACTCTATGTCACCTCATACAACATTGAGACTTCTTTCCTCATTTTTATTTTTAATTTATTTTTTATTTTATTTATTCATTTGAGAAAGAGAGAGAGAGAGAGCATGAGCAGGGGGAGAGGCAGAGGGAGAAGCAGGCACCTTGCTGAGCCAGGATCCAGACGTGGGGCTCGATCCCAGGACTCTGGGATCATGACCTGAGCCGAAGGCAGACGCTTAACCATCTGAGCCACCCAGGCGCCCGTTCTTTCCTCATTTTTAGATTTTTAGCCAGGTGATCTAGATTTTAATCCCCCAAATTATAATGGCAATTACCTATGACTTATGCAAATATTTTTTTTAATTTTTTACTGTTTTTATAGTGCTTCCTATAGACCAGGAACAAGCCCAAGTGTTTCACATTTATTCCTTATGTAATCCTCGCAACAAATCTGGGAAGTAGGTACAATTTTTATCCCCATTTTGCAGATGAGGAAACCAAAGCTTGTTAAGGTTAAGAAACTGGACTAAGATCATGCAGCTAGCACGTATTCAGGTTGGATCCAAACCCAGTAAGCCTGGCTCCAGAGAACAAAATCTTTACCACTGCCTAGCACAGCCTCTGACATGCTACCTCCAGATCAACTGTAAAGCAGAAAGCAAATGGGATTGATCCAATTGATTTCTGTTTCACAAACAATATAACCTAATTCAGCTGATGTCTTGATTAACTAGACTAGGTGCCCCTGGTGAGCTTGTGTGTGATTGAAAAAGACTGACAGATGCTTTGACCTGTCCCTGTCCACACCCCCACATCCCCAGCCCAGGCTGTTTGTATAGGCCCTGGCAGGTAGCCCTGGGTCTGCTGGAAATCCCTCCTGCCTCTCCGGTAGATCCAAGTATAACTTGTGAAGAAAAGCACTAGTTGATCAAAGAAGGGTGCAGCAGCAGGGGGCCGCTCTGGCAGGAGACCAGCTCCAGCCCAGCAGTCCCTCCAGAAGCAGAGGCGGCCCGGGAGCAGAGGAGGACGATGGCCACAGCCACAGACTCTTGGCTCAATTAGTATCGGTCAAAAAAGGCATGGCCTTGAAAATGACTCAAAGCTTAGAGCTGAAATTGTCCCGGGGATTCACGGGCTTGACAGTAGCAGCCCCAGCCCTGCAGAGCTCAGGAGCAGCTTGTGGCTGTGAGAATCACCCACGCCTGCTCATTTGCTCCTGGGGCTCCAGACATGGGGCTACTTTTGTGCCAGAATCTAGGATCACGGGACACCATCTTCCACACTGTGATCAGTAGCAATGCTTTTCAACCTTTAATATGCAGGCAGATTACCTGGGAATCTTGCTAAAAATGAAGGTTCTAACACAGTGGGTCCAAGGTTCCCTGCGATTCTGCATTTGTAACAAACTCTTGGGTGATGCTGATTCTGCTGGTCCACGGACCACGCTCTGAGTTGCAAGGGTCTGTAGAACACTAGCCTCACGGGAGAAATTCATGAGAGATTATGGTTCTTCATTGAGGACCTCTTACGACCTGTAATGTGCTAGAGTGCATTGCAAGTCTTTAGAAAGGATCTATAATATACAGAATTTCCAGACCTCATTCGCCCAAAGAAACTTTTTTGGTAGAACGTCTATAAACATCTCTGTTAATTAAGATTAGGTTCAATTTCTATTAACAGAAAATCCAAGGTAACAGTGACTTTTTCTCTTCCACATAAAAGAAATCTAGATAGTCTGGGGTCGGCATGGCTCCTGGCAATGTCAGAGACCCAGTTTCCTCCTGTCATGCTGTTCTCCCATCCTCTGAGCAGCTTGTGGCTTTCACATCAAAGTCCAAGATGGCTGATCCAGTTTCAGCTGCCACAAACACAGAAACACCGCCAGCAAGAAGGAAAGGCAAGAGAGAGACACACACACTCCAGCGACACTTCCAAGAAGTGGCACACACTGTCTACTCTTTCATCTCATTGGCCAGAACTTTATCACAGACAAAAATACAAGGAAGGCTGGGAAGTGTGGTCTCTATGTTCAGAGTGGCCATATTCACAGCTAGAAAATCAAGGGTACTGTTACCAACAAGGGAGCAGTGGGTATTGAGGAAAAACAAGCTATCTCTATCACAGTGTCTTAAAGAATTGTGAAAATAGTTTGGGAAATGATACTCCGGTCCCAGCCCATCATTTTCCACATCTGGTTGGTGGTGAGCCAGGACAGGCATCTTTATCTCTTCCCTCCCATTCCAGGTCATACTCAATTACTTTATGGTTCCTCTTCAGATGGCATCCTTCCTATCCCTCATGACAGAGAGGACACCCCAGGGAGTCCCCATCTTGGCTGCTGGAAGCTATAGCCCTGTTAGGAGCACCTGGCTGATTGGAATGACATGCCCAGCTCCCCCCGGGCTCAGAGAATGCATTAAAGTCACAGAAGAGAGGCAAGGACACTGGAGAATGAAACCGTGGGTTGTTACTTTGCCATTGGACAGATTTGCACCAACAGGCAGAAGACAGCATCCAAAGTTGTATTATTCATGCAATTTTACAGTCACCCCATTCTTTGTGAATGCTTCTCTGTGAATTTCTCAATGCTTGAGCTTTCCAGCCTTGCCTTACTGTCTTTCAGTGTTGATCTGCTATGGGAGGCAGTGAGGCTCACTCTCTAACACTGAATCATTGAGCAAAATCAGTTCTGTCTCAGTGCTGTGGTTCCTGTACTAAATGAAAAAGGAATAGAATGGGGGCTGGGGAAAGGGGGATTTCACATTTACTGCCTGCCTACTGTGTGCCAGATGCTAATCTACATGTTTATATATTTGTCTTATTTAATTAACACTCACTGCAGTTTATGACACTGAGCAGCGATGACCAAGCTGGGGGTTGAAGCAGATATCTCTGCCTGGAAAATCCATCTCTTTTTACCAGGACAGAAAATAGGAGCCTTCTACATGTGTCGTTCACTTTCTTTGTCTCGGGTGCTCCACTCTCCCCCCCCCCCCCCCCCCCCACCCCCACATTCTTTCACACATTGACTTTGTGTTCATCTTTTCCCAGTAATTAGTAAATTACAACCCCCGCATCTCAAATTCTTGACATTCATTTGCTGTTTCCCAGTAATTCATTCCATTTGGTATTTGCTTTGAAAAAGACACAGAAG